ATAGATAGATAGATAGATAGATAGATAGATAGATAGATAGATAGATAAGTAAAGCTGGGGAGTGGTGACGTGTGCCTTTAATCTCAGGAGGCAGAGGCAGGTGGGATGTCTGAGTTTGAGATCAGCTTGCTCTGCAGAGTGAATTCCTGACAGCCAAGGCTACCCCCCCCCCCCAAAAAAAAGGTGTCTCAAAAACAAACAAAAATTTGACAGACAGTAAGTTTCCTACTTGGCCATCATTTCTCACCCTCCTTACTAGAATTACTACAATCCTATTGAATCCACTGACGGAAGTTGTGTTTATTGCTGATCTTTATGTCTGTGTGAATGTCTTTGTGTCTGAGTGTGCATGTGAGTGCAGGTGTCCTCAGGCCAGGATGAGGGTATTGAATCCCCTGGAGCTGGAATTACAGGTGGCTGTGGGTGCCTACTGAGCTTCCTGATGTGGGTGCTGGGAATCAAACAAGTCCTCTTAACCAATGAGCCATCTCTCTAGCAACTAGGATTTTATTTTTATTTTATGTGTATAAAGGTGTTTGCGTACCTGTGTGTGTGTATAGATATATACCACGGGTATGCTCTTGTCCAAGGAAGCCAGAAAGAGGGTGGTTTCTTTTTAATGCCTCTATGTGAGCGTGTGTGCATATGCATATGAGCTGGAGGACATCTCAGATGTCACTGCCAGCCGTGCCATTACCTTTTAGGACAAAGTCTGGATGACCTGGTGTGCATCATTTAGGCTCTACTGACTGGTTAGCTAGCCCCAGACCCTCCTGTCTCCTGCTCACTTGCTGCAGCATCACAGGGCAGCACCATGCCCCATACTTTCTACGTGGGTTTTGGGAATTCAGCTCAGGTACTGGGGCTTGCAAAACCAATGTCTTACCAGCTGATCTATCCACCAGCTCCAGGAAATGATTCTTTGTTTTGTTTGGTTGGTTTTGGGGGTTGGTGGTTGTTGTTGTTGTTGTTGTGTTTTGTTTGTTTGGTTGGTTGGTTTTTTATTTTTCGAGACAGGGTTTTTGCCTTGGTTGTCCTGGACTCATTTTGAATACCAGGCTGGCCTTGAACTCAAAGAGAACTCCACATGCTTTTGCCTCCCAAGTACTGGGATTGAAGGTGTGCCCCACCACGCCCAGCTAACTACTCTGAATTTTTATGATCTTAATATTCTTTTCCTTGAGGGTTTTGTTTGTATCTGGATTTTGAGTCAGGGCTTGTGGGGGGGGGCATCCTTTGTCTAGGTTGTTACAGAAGGTGAAGTGGTTTTGGTCACTCTCAGTAGTGAAGGTACCCAAGGACAGGAAGGTGCTCATGCTCTCATTTAAAGCCCTAGAGCCTGGAACCCACACATCACACAGTAATCCCAAGAACTATGTGTGTTTCATGGGTTACTCTATAAAATGCGTAGGCTTGTTGTGGCAAGGCTGTATGACAAGAATGGCAGCTGTAGAATATGGAATTTGGATAAAGATTGAAGTCGTGGCAGGTCTAGAAACTGGTGCCCAATTCCAGTTCACTGGTCTTAAATATTTCAAACAGCTGGAAATCTCAGCAGTTAAGAACACTGGCTGTTCTTCCAGAGTACCTGAGTTTGATTGTCAGCACCCACATGATGCTAACAACTGTCTGTAAGTCCAGTTCCAGGGGGAAATGGGGCCCTCTTCTGACCTATGTGGCTACTGTGTGTATTGGTGCACAGACAGAAAAGTCTCCATACACATAAAATAATTTTTAAAATGCATTTCAGTGCTTGATTCCTCTTGGGTAGAATGAATTTTGTCTGGCCACATGCTGAGGCATTTTTTTGATGCCCTGTTACTTCCAGTTAAGGTCTTAAAAATCCTCAAGGTATGAAAACAACATAAATCAGCTCTTACAGTGTCTGACCTCCTCTTTTAAGCCTGGAAAAGATTATGTCAACTCATCGTGTAATACTCTGTTCAATAATGAATGAAGGGGGGGAGTATGCACGAACATCTTGCCTGTTGTGAAGTTAATGGTTAACAGTTAGTGTGTCCTGTTTTTCCTCTTCAGGTATCCAAACAATTGACTCCACCCAAGCTCTGTTCCTTCCAATTGGAGCATCCGTCTCTCTCCTAGTGATGTTCTTCTTCTTTGACTCAGTTCAAGTAGTTTTCACAATATGTACAGCAGGTAATTTAGCTTCAAATTTACTAAAAGGGATAAAAATATTTTTTTTAATTATTGTTAAAAGTTTATAATGTATCTACCGTGCTATGTAAGTTGTACCTTCTGTGTTCTGTTATCACAGTCTGCAAGAAAGGCAGGGACCCAGAATCCTCAGGAGCTTTAACCACACCAAATGGTTTGAGTTCTTCCTGGCTGATAATCCAAAGGTCTTGACAGGCACAGTGGCCATGAGCATACTCTACTACTGTGTCTGCAGATACAAAAATTGATAGCTATCAAAGTGACTAGCTGCCAGGATTCCATGATAAAAGTACAGAGGAAAGTAACAAAAGCTAGATGACTGTAGGGGGTTCATCCTCTGCCTGCTGCTTATTCTTTCTTCCTGAGTTAAGGGAAGATGAGAAAAATACATTTTGCCCCTCTACTGCAAACCAAATTTTAGTTTTTACTTTAAAAAAAAAAAATGGTTATGCAATAGTGAAAGACTTTCTGGGCACACAGCTGAATGCCACACATGCACAAGGTCCCTGGGTCCCAGCTCCAGCACAAGCAGAGAAATGGGGAAAGGTTTTAGGTACCTTTTCCACTTGTTAAGAAATTTTTCCTATAATGGATAAAGAAAAAAAAATTAATGAAACTTTTTTTCCCTAGTTCTTGCAACAATAGCTTTTGCTTTTCTTCTTCTCCCGATGTGCCAGTATTTAACAAGACCCTGCTCACCTCAGAACAAGTAAGTGCTTAGAACCTTCTCCCTAAGTTACAAGAGGGACGGGTACTGGCAGGAGTGTACAAACAGCCAGAGACTGGGGAACGAGCTGTTTGGCTGCTCTTTTTAAACTGCAAGATGATGTTCCCTTTTGCATTTCTCATGGTACCGAAAGTAGAGACATCCTCAGAAGTGGGGCTCTTCATAATTTGTTCCCCACCTAGCTAGATTAGGAAGGACAAGCAGTTTTGTAGAAGCAGTAACAATAGAAGAGTAGTGGCTGAATTCAAACTCTTCATTGTTCTTCTCTGGTGACCTGCATCATTCACACCTCCACCCCTGGGAGCCATTGCTCTAAGGAGCAATGGTATGTTGATGGAGGTGATGTTGGGGAACTAATCAGTTGTGGCAGCTGGCTTTCCAGAAATTAGTGATAGCCAAGTAGATTTCCTCATGTTACAAGTATTATTTCATCATTGTTAACTGAATGGGATCGGTTCCTTTTCTTTATTTTTTTTTTCTTAAGAATGGGATTTTCCTTATATTTAGCTCTCCCAGAGACTGATTTTATTATTAAACTTTTCAGACACCCTTGTTGATAATTTAGTTTTGGGTAGTTTTTTTGTTTTGTTTTGTTGTTGTTTTGGTTGGTTTGTTTGGTTTTTTTTTTTTAGTTTGGGGGGGGAAAGGTGCTCTGTTGGGCCAGTGCAGTGGTTCAGCAGGTGAAAGCTTGATCCTGGGAATCCACAGCACAAGGACAGATCTCACAACGTTGTCGCCTGACCTCCACCTATTTATATACACACAGTATTAATAAATAAAGTAATAAATAAGTAAAAATTAACTGCATTACCAAATGGGAACTGAAAAGTAATTTCTAAGTCTTTTATAGAGGACTCCAACAAGTTTTGGACCTTTCAGCTTCCCGAGTAATTAGGAATTGCTGACTGCTCTGATCATGAAGAAACACGGGAGCATCTGGTCACTGAATGCCATGTGCTCCTCAGCCCAACTAATGTGTATTTTCCAGGATTTCCTTCGGTTGCTGTGGGCGGTTTACTGCTGCTGAGTTACTGTCATTCTCTCTGTCTGTCATGCTCGTCCTCATCTGGGTCCTCACTGGCCACTGGCTTCTTATGGATGGTGAGTGACATGATAGGTGGTAATTGTTTCTCGATTGCTTTCATGGGTCACAGCCTCAACTGCGGGCCATGGACCTGTGTGAATGGTGAAAGGTAAAGGCTACTGGCCATGCCCTGACCAGAAGCTAACTTAGAATCAAACACACAGTGAACCTACAGCTCTAGCAGTGTGCACCGTGTTACAGAACCATGTTCCTTCACCAGAAGCCGAGGTCCTAAAAACACAACATGCCCCGCCTAGACACCTCTGCTCACACTGATGAGTATTTCGAGTGAGAGTTGCAGTGTTTTTACTGCAATACAAAGGCTTCTCTCTCAGAGAGACACAATGGTATATTAGAAAACAGAAGCTGTTACTGTTCCCTACTGTCATTTCTCACCATATAAGTATCAAATTAGCATAGCTTTGGGTTGAGTTATGTTAGAATATTTGATTTTTACAATTGCTGTTTGAGCCGGGCATTGTGGCACGTTTGTTTGCTTGCTTGCTTGCTTGCTTGCTTGCTTGCTTGCTTGCGTGCTTTTGTGCTTTTTCCAAGACAGGTAGCCTGGCTATCCTGGAACTCATTCTGTAGACCAGACTGACAACAGCACTTCAGAGGCAGAAGGATGTATGTGAGTTGAAGGTCAACCTGGTCTCAAAGCAAATTCTAAGCGTCAGGCCACACAGTGAGACCCCCTTATAAACAAATAAAATAAACACAAAATTGCTCTTTTGAGTTGCTGGGTTTTTTTTTTAAATAATTGATTAATTTTGGCTTTGAATTAGGATAGAATTTCCAACCTTTTTCTAAAATGGTTCTAATCATCCATTTATGGCATTTTATTTTGCATATTTATGCAAAGCAGCATTTTTGGCATGGGCAGCTATCAACTCTGAGAAAGAGTGAAGGTGTCTTTTTAGACAGGTATTCATTCAGCCAAAATTTATTTATGTCAGAATTGCCTAACACAATATTAGTATGCAGATTTCTTTTGTCTCTAATAGTAAAATTATATGTCTTTTAAGTTTATAATTTATTATCAGTGACTGTTCGCTTCATATGCCAATTTTATATGCCTATTATCCAGGGTCACATAAAAATTTGTTGAGCAGAAGGAAGCTGCCAGTGAGAAAGATGTAAGCCTATTGAAGACCAAGTCATCGTAGACACTCAGGCTTAGGCCATTCCTGCCCCTACACTAGCGGTGGCCTCTCCTGCCCCAGCCCTGTCCTGGCTCTGTCATCTGCCGCTGGGCTTTCCTAGGCAGCATCTGACTTCTTCCACTTGGCAAATGTTTTCCAGTCACCCAGCCATAACCTCTCACTAGATCTTTCTCTAGAAGACTATTCTGTTACCAGTTATATTGCTCATTCATAATTATTTCCCCCACTTTTGCTTATATCAGTTTTCTCCTTATATAAGTGGAAATAAATATCATGTGATATATAAAAACATATTCGGGCTAGAGTCCAGTGGTTAGGAGCACTGCCTGCGGAGGCCCCAAGTTTAGTTCTCAGCACCCACACTGGTGACTCATAGCCACCCTTCTGCTTCTGCAAGCATCTGCACACCCATGGCCCATATCCACATATCCAGTGATAACCTGCAGTGTGCTCTTTCGTATAGCCATAAGCATATGCCTATATCATCATACAAACAAACATCGAGCCCTTTTAAATAGTTCCAGAGCATTCTGAAGTGCTGTGTTATTTAACTGTTGCTGTGTCCTTAGATTGTCTTTTTAAATAACTGAGATTAACTTGGTCAGTCTCAGTTTGATACAGGTGTCAGGTCACTTTGATCTGCCCTGAGCAAATGCTCTTTTGAGTTACATCACCAGCATGTGTGACATTCTAAAGATGAATTTCCAGACATGACGATCCCACAGTAAAAGTCTTCTGTGTTAACTTGTGTATGTTTATGTGTGTGTGACTTACCTACATGTGTGCCTTAAGAAATAAATGTAATAAAGAATTCTAAAAACACCCTGCATAGTTAAAGTCAAAGAAGAGAATATATATCCTGATTTCATGTAATTAGAAAACATGTAACTTTGCTCATGGTCAAAACAGATAGAAACTCGATCAGGATGATTGTAAATTATGTTTTCTCTGATTCAGAACAGGTATCACTTCATTGCACCCCAGAAGTGTTTAATCAAAGAACATGTGCTGCAGTACAGTCCAGAGGAGGAAGTGTTAAACCTTGGAGGACTGCCTTTTTCTCAGAAGTGGCTGACAGTTAGATCTAGAGTTTGCCACATAAGTCATGTTGACTACTAAAAAGCAGTGGGAAGCTGAATGAGGAGACACGCTAGAAAGCAGATTGCTTACAGATTATATTTGAATGGCATGAAAGTTGCTCGGGTTGTAAACGAGATTTTTAAACAAAATGTGCAAATAGAAGACATAGGGGGTTTTTACTATAAAGAAGTTGCACATGGAATTCTTGTGCTCTGGGAGGAGGATGACTGTTAGGCTGAGGGTATAGTCTCCAGTTCCACTTGCACAGGCCAAAGGGGCATTCACTCTAGGAGCTGTCTGCCTTCAAGGCTGCAGTGGGTACAAAACTGGCTGTGAAAGATAAACCTTCCATCATAGTGACCACAGTCACAGTGCACTTCTGTCATGAAATCCACCTTCCGTGACAGTGGTCACGGTCACAGTGCACTTCTGTCTTGAAATCCACCTAATAATTGATGTTCAGTAAGGCGCTTCTAAGAGTCTAGTGCACTCTGCTGCATTTTCAGCCATTGTTGCAATTTCCTTATTTACCTAGAGGAGGAGGTGCTATGGCAGTCCAGGCAAGCAGTGACTTGTGCAGGGCAGGTATGAGAAACTAATGATTTTTATCTACATAACTAGAAGATAGGAACTACTTTACAGGAAAAATGAATTGGAGTAGAGTAAATCTGAGAAACCTGTTGCACATTCAAGTAAATCTGTTACTTTAGTCCACGTAGTACTTGAGTCATCCTGTGTTTATTAGAGAAATATCACTAAATGAGATGGAAATGGCTTAAATTGGAAACGAGATTTCACCTCATTTAAAAAATATATATGTGATTCTCACCATATGATCCCCTCCACCATATTTTAATAGAATAAAAAGAGTTCCTGGCTGGTGTGGTGTCACACACCTAAAATTCCTGCACTTGGGAGACCAAGGCAAGTGTATCTCTGAGTTCCAGGACACTCAGGGACTACACAGAGAAACCCCATCTCAATAAAAAACAAAAATAAAAACAGAAGTTCTTTACCAGCTTCCAGCATAATAATCCTTAAACATCTTGTTTCCACACTAAGAAATAGTTTCATTTGGCGGCTGTTTTACTTTGTTGTTTTGTTTTTAATTGTATGTGTGTACCGTGGCATGTGTGTGGTGTTCAGAGAACAATCCTTAGGAGTCAGTTCTTTCCTCTGTGGGTTTGGGAGAACACAATCAGATGAGGCCTGCATGGCTAGCGCTTTTCCCTACTGAGCCATCTCTCTAGCCCTGGTGTTTTTGAGGATTTCATACATGTATGTAATGTAGTATGGTCATATTGGCTCCCCATCTGGACAACCCTTGGAAAGTTCTTTACAACTTTTCCTGACCCCAAACCTCTCCACCCCCTCCAAACTTTATGTCTGTGTTTTTGTTGTTGTTTTCTTTTCCATGATCTCACTTTGTAGCCCAGGCTGACCTTAAACTTACCATCGTCCTGCTTCACCCTACTGAGTGCTGATAATACAAATCTATACCATCCCTCCTGGGAATGTATTTTCTACATAAAACTTTTTAATGTATAGAAAAACTCTTGGTGTGTGTGATGGTGCATGCTTTTAATCCTGGCAGAGAGAGGCAGGCAGGTCTCTGAGTTCAAGGCCAGCAAGTTCCAGATTGACCAGAGCTGCAAAGTGAGACTCCAGTTCAAAAAGAGGGAATGTGAGAGAGTTGTCTGAGCAGTTAAGAGTATTTGCTGCTCTTCCAGAGGACCTGAAACACTCACAATCATCTATAATAGCCCACTTCCAGGAAGCCCAACACACCCTTGTGGCCTCCACGGGCATTCACACTCATGTATGCATGCTTGCACACATACACATACATGCACAAGGTCGAGAGAGAGAAATATCATTAAAACATGCTGGAGGACATTTTAACAGTAATATCTGGACAGTGGTAATAGATAGATAGATAGATAGATAGATAGATAGATAGATAGATAGATAGATAGATAGAATGAATTATAAGCAATATAATTAATTGCTTTTGGGGAGAAGTTTGAAATAGAGTTTCTCTGTGTGGCCCTGCCTGTCCTGGAACTCTCTTTATAGACCAGACTGGCCTCAAAGTCACAGAGATCCATCTGTCTCTGCCTGTAGAGCGCTGGGATTTAAGGCATGTGCCGTCACTATCCAGCTTAATTAATTGCTTTTATACTGCAAGAATTGGAAAGGGAAGAGGGAAGATCTGCTCTCATTGTGAGACAAGGCCTTGCTATGTAGTATAAGTTGGCCTCAAACTCAAGCTCTCCTGCCTCGGCCTTCCTTAGGATTATAGGTGTGTGCTGCCACGTACTTTCTAAGGTTCTTTGGAGCAGCTTAACTTAAGGAGAACCTGACTTCTCCACTTACAACCTCCTTTTGCCCAGGACATTTTTATGCACCCTAGGTCATAGGTGTATAAAAGAGGCATACAATCAAATGCTGATGAGAAATAATAAATGTGTTCCAGGCATAGCGGCACACCTTTAATCTCACCACTCAGGAAGTAAGCGGATCTCTGTGAGTTAGAGGCTAGGTTGGTCTACAGAGAGTTTCAAACAGAAACATGCACAGTAATGAAACAGGTTACTTCTTTACTGTCACCAAAACAACAACAAAAGTCTCTTGGCTGAATATTTCATGTAAGACGGGTAGAGTATCCTCAGTGTTTTTCAGGGTTGATCAGTGTCTTGAGTTTACACTCGTCAGTGCCAAGAATGCCCTTGCACAGAACCATAGTACAGATAGCCGAAGGTGTCTGCTGCTGCACCAGAAACTGTTAGGGATTATGCCACAGTTCAGTTACTTGTGAAGCTCCATTCAGATACTCAAACAGTAGCTTTTAAAATCAAATGATCGACTACTTTAATGTACATTTATACACTAGGAATGCTGGTAGGAAAACTGTGTTTCTGTAATGTAGCCTGTGAGAGCAGAAAAATTCATGTGCAATACAAATGCTGTGGTCCACAGTGCACAATGCCCTGGGTTTCAGGCAGTGTTCATGGGCACTGTTGCACGGTGTGACGAGATGAGCAGCAGCACACGGCGTACATGTGCCATAAGCAAGGCCTCTACACGGTGCTGTGTGGAGTACCTTCTAATTTTCACATTGGACTTTGTAAAGTATTTTTTTGACAGTTAAGTGTTTAGAAACCCTTACTAGTGACTAAATTTTTGTTAAACACAGTTTGAGAAACTGGCTTTAAGTAGACCTTTGTGTAAATTAAGTCAGAGAACTAGGAGGAAGGCAGAGGGTTGTTGGCAAATACTATGTTAAGATTAAAGTTGCAGATACTCTGTTGATGAATTAATGGGGAAATGCAATGGAGAGAACAGTGAATTACTGGAATGCTGTTTGGAGGAAGGGGAGGTGACTTGTATGTAATAAACTGGGTTTTTTGTTGTTTTTTGTTTTTAAGACAGGCTCTCATTGTGTAGACTAGGCTGGCCTTGAATTCAGAGATCTGTCTGCCTCTGCCCTCCTGAGTGCCAGAGTGAAGGCCCGTGTCACTATGACCAGCTAAATTGGCTTCTTAACAAGGGTAATATACTCTACCCATAGGAACAGAATGTCAAGAAAAGGGAATGAGGTGGTCTTATCTGGCCTGTAGCTAAGTAGCTCAAGATGATACAGATTCTGGGTCTCCAAGTAGCTCCATTTTGAGTAGTAGCATGAGATAACCTACCTCAAACCCCAGCAGGTCCAGGTGGGCTGCTGCAGTATGGATAATTGTCTGAAACTAAGAGCTCAGAGCACCTGAGTTTTGAGAGGACCTCAGATTCTGTAGGGTTATGTAATCAAGAGCTTATGAGAAGAGACTGACCATCCACAGTGACTGATCCCCGTGCTTACCCTACCCCCAGCTCTGGCCATGGGTCTCTGTGTCGCCATGATCGCCTTCGTCCGCCTGCCAAGCCTCAAGGTATCCTGCCTGCTTCTCTCAGGGCTTCTCATCTACGATGTCTTCTGGGTGAGTGTCTGCTTCCCTAGACCCTGATCTCCTTTGGGTTTAGTTGGCGTTGAATGCTATCTAAGTACCCGTCTCTGGTGACCCCTGCTCTGGGGCTGCAGGTGTTAGTCATAAACAGGCACTCCAGGGCACCTTTTGTTGGTGGCTGCTGTCGTGCAGTAGGCAGTGTGTGTAACAGGGTGGGGCCGGCAGGCAGCAGGCTGGTGAGGGTTCTTGCATAGGAGCAGTCCATGCCACTGGAAAGGGAACATCAGTGGGGGTGGAGACATGCAGCCAAAGAGCGCCTAGGGCAGGGAAGGCTACTGGCTAATGGGCACCTTTCGGTCCTGACACCGTCATCTGTTCATCTTGGCAGGTATTTTTCTCAGCCTACATCTTTAATAGCAACGTCATGGTGAAAGTGGCCACACAGCCAGCTGACAATCCCCTTGATGTTCTGTCCCGGAAGCTTCACCTAGGACCCAATGTGGGGCGTGATGTTCCTCGCCTGTCTTTGCCTGGAAAATTGGTCTTCCCAAGGTAGGACTGGCCTGTGGGTCCCCACCCTACAATGATGAGCATACTGCCTTCTTGTCTGTTTGCTGTAATCAGCATTCTGGTCCTAAACAGGAAAGGGCCATCATCCACAGATCTGTGTAGATGAGGGAGAGTAGCAGCTTTATAATTAGCATGTAATGTCATAGGTTCATCATGCCATCCTCACGTGTGTATGTCATGGATTTGCTTTTGTCTCTTTTTCCTTAGTCCCCTTCTACTTTCACATATTTTATGCATATTAATCTAGATGCCCTTTTTCTTTCTGCAACACGTATGCACCCCACATTTCTTTCTCTACTGATGAGCATGTGGAATGAATCCATATCTTAACTGCTGTGACCAGTGTGGCAATAAACATGGCATGCTCACATATTTTATGTACATCTGCCAGGGAGTGGTATAGCCAGATCATATGGTAGTTTTGCTCTTAGCTGTTTGAGGTGGACCTCCATACTGATTTTCATGGTGGCTGGCCTAATTTACATTTCCACCAACGGTGTGTGTCCTTTATGCCTGCCATACTCCCTGGCGGTTCTCCCTACCTCCCTGCCTCCCTACCTGTCTCCGTCTCCGTCTCCTCTCTCAGAATCTCAGAATGTAACTCTGGCTAGCCGAGAACACAGGGATCTGCCACCCGAGTGCTAGGGGTGAAGATGTGGCCCACCACGCCTGGCCTGTTTCCTTCACCACCACCACCCCAGACAGGGTTTCTCTGTGTAGCCTTGGCTCTCCTGGACTAGATTTTTACACCAGGCTGGCCTCGAACTCACAGAGATCCACCTGCCTCTGCCTCCCTGAGACTGGGACTAAAGGTGTGCGCCACCACACCTAGTTCTGTTTGTCAACTCTTGATATTACCTGGGCTGTTGAAGTTATTACAGAAAATCCTGCCTATGTTTGTATGTGGAAATATTTTCCCTTTCACATTTTTAAAGTTTCAGGTCTTAGGGATTCCTTTTGTTTTTTAAATATATTTTACTTGTGTGAGTATTGTTCGGCATGTATCAATGTGCACATGTCTGCCTGGTGCCCTTAGAGGCCAGAAGAGGGCATCAGATGCCTTGAAACTGGACAGATGGTTGTGAGCTTCCATGTGGGTGCTGGAGCTAGAGCCTGGCTCCTCTACAAGAGAAGAGCAGCCAGTGTTCTTAACCACTGAGCCATCTAACCCATTAATTCATTTTGAACTAGTTTTTATGTGTAACAGATAAGGGAGTGTCTTAGGGTTTTTATGGCTGTGAAGAGACACCATGACCATGGCATCTCTTTCAAAGCGTTACAAACATTAATTGGGGCTGGCTTACAGGTTCAGAGGTTTAGTCCATTGTAACCATGGCAGGAAGCGTGGTGGCACCCAGGCAGACATGGTGCCGGAGAGGTAGCTGAGACTTCTACCTCAGGATCTGCAGGCAACAGGAAGAGACAGTCACACTGGGCCTGAGACCTCAAAGCCCACCCTCCAGTGACAAACATCCTAATCGTGCCACTCCCTATGAGCAATCATTCAAACACGAGAGTCTATGGGGGCCATTTCTATTCAAGTCACCACAGGGGCATCCAGCTTCCCCAGACCATTTGTAGAAAAGCTGTGTTTTCTCCAATGTTTGTTTTTGGCACCTTTGTCAAAAATCAGGTTTGTATAGGGGGTTGGGGTACACCTCAGCAGTAGATTCTTATGCAGTATGACTAAGGCCCTAGATTCCATTCCCAGCACCATAAAGAGAGTGCGGTATATGAGTTTGTTTCTGCAGAGTCGAGTCCACTGATGTGTGTGCTTGTGGCTCTAATGCAGTTTGAGATTAGGTAATGTCCAGTATTACTGGTAGTGCTTAGAACTTTGGCTGCTTTGGCTCTTTAGGGCCTTTTGTGCTTCCATGTGTGTTTAGTACTGTCTTTTCCATTTCCGCAAAGAATGTTAGTAGAGTTTTGGTGGTGATCATTGAATCTGTAGATGATTTTTAAGTGCTATAACATTCTGACAGTGTTAACCTATGAGTTTGGAAGGTTTTTCCATTTCCTAATGTCTTCATCATAGAGGTCTTTTCACCCCCCTGGTTGAGTTCATTTTTAGATAGAAGTCTCACTTTTGTTTGTGGTAACGGGATTACATCTAAGGTTTCACTAGGCCAGCACTTTTTTTTTTTTTTTTTCTCAGTGTAATTATTGATCTATAGAAAAGTTACTGCTGGCCAAGCCAGCCTGCTCTGCATAGTAAGATGGGGAGGAGTAACATCATTTTTTCTTTTTCCTTGTCTTACTGCTCTAAGAATGTAAGCACCATATCCCTCCCCCAACAAAAAATAGTAAAAAGTAGACATGTGAGCCGAACCATCTCAGATCTTTGGGATAAAGCCAACCAAGCCATGGTCCACAGTCTGTAACACGCTGCTGAGTTCAGTTCAGGGATTTTATTGATCAGTCTTCTAAGCAGGAGAGCTGCTTAGTAGTTTCATGAAGTCCTTCTCTGGTTTTAGTGTTAAGGAAAGTAATACTGATTTGGTGTGACGAGTTTGGCAGTGTCCTTTCTTGTCTGTGTGGAGTAGTTTGACAGTGCGGATGGTCTCGGCAATCTGGCAGTCATCAGTCTGTGTGGTCCTGGCCCTTCCTTACTGCTAATTTGAATCTCATTGCTCACTCTACATCTGTTATTAACAGCTTTGGTTTAATTTTGGCAGGAGATATATATATATACATATACATATATATACATATATATATGTATATATATGTATATGTATATATATGTATGTATATATATGTGTGTGTGTGTGTATATATATATATATATATATATATATATATATATATATATATGAATTTATTCATTTCACCTTTTGAAAGGTGAACATTTTCCAGTTTGGGGAATATAAGATTTCAGAGAACCCATTTTAAGATTCCCCCTTTTCTCTAGCTGATTAGTTTGGGTCTGCTGAGTTAGCTTACTTGTACTGAGGCTTTGGAAACACTGACAGCTGTGTCTGTCTCTGCTGTATTTAGAGCTCTGCAGTGTTGTTTTCTTCTCAGTGACCACTGACACTCAACACTGGTGCTCAGTCTTCATGCACTGGGTAGTGCATTCGTCACCCTCTTGTCCGGTGACAGAACCTGTGGGAGGACAGCATCATCTCGTCCCTCCTGGCAGGGGAGGTGTGTGGTGCCTGGACCTGGATCTTTGATAGTGGAAGTTTGGGGCAGGGCCTGTTCTGAGGATCAGGAAACAGTCCCTCAGTACACCACCGTTACTATCACCCCAGAAGGGACCCCTTCCTCCCATTAGGCCTCACCTCCAAATGGCTTCACAACCTTGAAAAACAGAGCCACCAGCTGGGGGCAAGTATTCAAACACATAAGCCTATGGGGCATTTCTTACTCAAACCAGGACACTGGCTCTATAGTCTTTCTTGCTTATTCATCTCTGGTTCTATTCCCATATGACCTGATAAGAGACATGAAAGTATCTCAGGGTTCTTTAAGAATTGCTTTATCACTTAAAATGTAATATGGTTGTGTTTTTCTTAAAGTGTCACAGGCTGAAAAGAATGTATATTCCAGAGCTGTGGAATATTCTATAGACATGTATGTTTTGGTCTTCATTACCTACATTTAGATCAGTAGCTCTTGACCTATGGGTCGCAACCCTTTGGGGCTCATTGAACAACCCCTTCATCAATGGGTCACTGAAGACACCATTATTTACATTATGACTCATAACAGTATCAAAATTATAATTATGAAGTAGCAATGAAAATGATTTTATGGTTGGGGGTTACCACAACATGAACTGAATTAAAGGGCTGAAGCATTAGGCAAGGTGAGAACCGCTGTTTTAGAATAAACTCTCCAATTTGTTCCAGTTAAGAGGAGTCTCTAGTGTTTTGGAGAATGAGGAAGCAAGCGGCCCTGGGCCCTGCCAGAAGGAGGGAGCTCAGCATGTCCATATCTTGGCAGAAGCAGGAAGGAGGAGCTGCAGAAATACAGTGCTCCTCTAGGATATTCGTTGTCCTCACCAAGGGCCATGACTGCTACACCCTGCACCCTCATCACTTGAACCACCTAAATTTCAGCACATTTAAAAGCAGACTCTTATACAAACTACCTCATACAGTGGTCCCCAGACTGATTTGTGACTGACTGTTCCTTGTTTTCAAGCCTTCAGAGTAGCTAGTCCTAAGCCCTCAGATAGAGGTGTGGCAGGGTAAAGCATGTCTCCACTGCAGTCCTGTCACCCAGGAGGAAGCACTGGGATGCCAAGATTCTGAGTACCTTGTTTTCACCAAGCCACTTGGCTGACCTTGTAGACAAGACCCTGGTGTCCCCTCTCTTCCTGAGAGTCAGGACAGGGTCATTGTACTCACTGCTTACAGCTTTTCTGTTCTGTGCTTTTTGGCTGCCCTGGCATCGCGGGTGACTTCTGATGCTGCTCCTTTCTTGTCCTGACTCTTCTCATTCAGCATCACAGAGACATTGTCTAAGCTGCCGTCCTTCTCAGCTTGACACAGGTGCTACTTAATAGTCCCACATAGCAGAGTGGGCTGTAGCTTTTACAGTTGGCTGAAATTAACAGAATTTGCTTTTTTTTTTTTTTTTCCTGAGACACTTGTAAAAATATGTTCTCAAAGTAACAGTCTCAGTGAAGCAGTCTTGGCAAAGCCAGCATACCACTTCAGTCTTCTGTCTGATGTAGAAGATACTCAAAGTAATAGAATTGACACTGTAAAGAACTTCCTAACAGATTTGCTTAGGAGACATTAAGTCACAAGTGGAATTTAGCCAAAGGAATGCTGCTTCCCAAATACCAGAAGGTAAGCTGGGTGTACAGGCCTGCTGGAGATAATTTAGGATGCTGAGGTATAACTGTTTGTTCACCGGGACTCACCAACTTTTAGGCTCCATTCCCATTACCCTGACTTAGACCCAACAATGAGGCCCTAATCCTACAGCACAAGACATGCCTTTAAGGAGCAGTGCTGGTGGGCACAGGATCACAATCATTCAAGTCCTCTGTGATCTTAACAAAAAAAAAAAAAAAAAGCATAGTCAGGAGGGCAGGGCAACCCTGGGTAACAGCTGTTGAGAAACAACACTCGTGTGCCTAGTGGTTCTGGCAGTATGGGCTGTCTTTGCTGTGTTCATCACCCTTTTGCCTCAGTGACCAGACTGGCAGTCTCCTGTCTTTATAAACTGTTCAAATATAAGTTGGGCCCAGGAACCAAAAGAAATTTAAGGATGACAGCATATGTGGAATGCGCAAACCTTCGAAGTAAGTTAGTAACATCTATTCATGACCAGCTTCTCTTTGGATGTTAACCATAAGGCGCTTTTTCTTACTTTCCTGAGTGTGGGGAGTGATTTTCTCCTTGGGAGATTATGTTACTACAACATGGTGATAGGGCTCGTTTGTACTTTGAGGAATGATGGTGACACTCCTTCCATAAGAGGTGCCTGTGTGTGGGTCAGCCCAGCAAATACTCAGTGCTCCCCAAAATCCTTGGAGATTGCTAAGGCCAATGCTCTGGTCTTTGCATTTTTAGAGGCTAGTGTTGAGCCTGCCAGAGTGGCTCATGCCAGTAATCCCAACATTCAGGAGGCTATGGAAGACTCTTAAGATTGAGACCAGACTGGGTTCAATAGCAAGACTCTGTCTCAAAAAAACAAACAGGGCAGTGGTGGTGGCACACACCTTCAATCCCCGAATTTGGGAGACAGAGCCAAGTAGATCTTTATCAATTCAAAGAGGCCTGGTCTATACAGCGAGTTCCAGGGCAGGCAGGGCTACTGCGAGACCTTGTCTCAAACCCAAAAAAACAAGTGGAAATCCTTTATGTCTTGAAAAGCTGACAAACTTGAAACAGAAGGCTTAGAGCTTGTAGAGTGCAGTGTCCTAACGTGTGGTGTTGTGTTTCAGCTCCACTGGCAGTCACTTCTCTATGTTGGGCATTGGGGACATTGTGATGCCCGGCCTCCTGCTGTGCTTTGTCCTTCGCTATGACAACTACAAGAAACAAGCCAGTGGTGACTCCTGTGGGGCCCCTGGTCCAGCTAATATCTCTGGGCGCATGCAGAAGGTCTCCTACTTCCACTGCACCCTCATCGGGTACTTTGTAGGTAAGAGAAAGCAGCAGGAAAGCTCCCTTGCGTCCTCCCTCGAGTGCCTGCACCCATGTCTTCCAGCTGCTGACCAGAAAAGCAGTAACTCTGATTGCTGTCTAGACAACCAAAAGAAATCTTTGAGTTGATGTGTGCTCCATATGTTTGAGTGCCCATATCCTAGAAAACATGAAAAAAAAACGGAGCCAGTTCTCAGTCCAGTACATACCACATGCTAAGAGTCTAGGCACTGGGCAAACTGTCCTGTTTGTTTTTACTTCCATTAGCTCCAGTGCATACATCACCTCAGAATATTCCAGGCTAGTGTGTCTCCAACCAACTCAGAATCCACAAACAGGAAGACGCATCTGTACTAGGGTAGACATAGGAACAACATAACTCCCCTCCTTCCTGGTGCACACACTCCCGTCAGTATACAGGCCCTGAGGGGTCAGGCTAGGGTATCGCCAGTAAGGAGGTGAGAGGCAACAGGCTCAGGTACCGCTGTGCGACCTTGTGAAGTATTTCAGGTCTGTCATCACAGCTCGGGAGCCAGTCAGGGTTGCCTCGCTGGTCTCCATTTCCTTGACAGGTCTACTTGTTAACTATGTCATGGCCAGGTGACAAGGGGGATGTGTCCTCTCCTGGCCTTTCAGAGCCACTCACCAATGTCTCTCTCCTAGGTCTGCTCACTGCGACTGTGGCATCTCGCATCCACCGAGCTGCCCAGCCCGCTCTCCTCTACTTGGTGCCATTTACCTTATTGCCACTCCTCACTATGGCCTACCTAAAGGTGAGAGCAGTAGGCACAAGCCAGGAAGTGCTGACTTGCACCTTGTTTTAAGTGGACTTTGGGTTGTCATGACCTCATCACAGGTCACTGAGGGTTGAACTGAAACCATGAGAGTTAATGCTGTTGAGACTTGTGTACTGTGGCCACCTCATCACTAAACGACATGAGAATTGAGAGTTCAGGGCCACCCTGGGCAACCTGGCAATCCTATATAGAAGCAAAGATTTGAAAAGGGCTGGACCTGAAGCTTAGTAAAGGCCCTGGATAGTCTCCATCACCCAAATGCCAAACAAAAGACAGTGGAGCCATAGTGCTGCCTGATGGCTTTTTAATAGTGTTGTTTGAAATAAGTATTTAATATTGGGGCTGGAAACAAAGCTCAGAGGTTCAGGCTCTTGCCTCCCAGTTCTCTGTAACTCTAGTTCCAGAGGATCCAACACCTTCTTTAGAGTTCTGTGAGCACCAGGCATGCACATGCTGTACTATACATGCAGGCAAAATACACACATACACACACACACAATCTACATGTATACTGTTAAGGCAATATCCCTAATTTACAGTAACTTTCTTTTTAAAGATTTTTGTGGTTTTGAGACAGGGTCTCAATGTAATGTGGCCCTGGTTAGTCTGGAAGTGGCTGTGTAGTCCAGATTGACATATTCACAGAGGTCCATCTGCCCCGCCTCCCAAGTGTTTGTCCCACCGTGCACAACCCTGACGATTTTTCCGTGCCTGTGCCAGTCCAAAGACTGACTTCTTACTGACCAAGTTTTTAGCCTCTTGTTTTACAGACAGAGGTTCATGAACAGGCCAGAGCTAGGACTTCCCTCAGGGCTCAGGGTCCGCAGAGACAGGCTTCTCTGTACCTAGAGCCGGGCATCAGCAGTTCTGATATGAGGAAGGACTGGTGCCCCTTGTTTACACCTAGAACTCAGCAGGGTCCTTTCTGTCCCCAGGGTGACTTACGAAGGATGTGGTCTGAGCCATTCCACTCCAAGTCCAGCAGCTCCCGATTCCTGGAAGTATGATGAATCACGTGGGAAGTGACCGGATTTGCTCTCCTCGCCCTGTCTCTCACCGCGTGGTTTTGTTTCCTCTAAAAGCTGGCCTGGTACGCGGAGGCAGGCCTGTCCACGGAACTGCAGTGTGACAGAGTTTGCGTGTGAGGTGAGCGTCTATGGAGGGTGCTGAAGCCCTGCAGAGCCCTTCTCTTCCCCGCCCTGGGAGAGTGGACCCTTCTAGAAGGGACAGGCCCTCCCGCTGCTCTTTGCTTATGTTTTTACGGACCTGCACCCGACTGTTACCTTGCGGGGAGATGAAGAGCTGACTTATTTAAAACTACAAACAGCAAGGAGTTGTTTTAGAACTTTGAACACTAAAAGGATGAAAAAATTTAGCAAACCGAAGTTTCTTCAGCGAACCCTCCAAAACTTTGGGACCCGTTTCCTATGGGGGACTTCAGAGACCTAGGACAGAAGTTCTGTCCATCTTTTTTTCTTTTCTTTTGGATTTATTAAATATTTTCTGTGGTGTGAAGTGACTTATTAAATCCACAGACATTGAATGACTTCTTACAACATACACATAAGAATTTGTTGTAATGACTGTGTCCAACCGTGTTCGCAGTGAACAAGGACACGGTTTTATACATACGTACATATATACATATATATATATATATATACACACACACACACGCGCGCGTGCACATAGATATCTATGAGTAAGCAGCGACTAAACCTGCTAAGATCATGCCGTGTAGCAGACGGGGGCTTGCTGTCATTTGAGCATGTAGAGCAGTTCACTGTAGCTTCCTCGCATAAGCTGCGTCTCCCTCACGAGTCTCCTGCGGTTGGAAGCTGTGGACACGTGGAGCTGATAAGACTCGTGGGCTGTGGGGACTCCTACTTCTTTTGATCAGTGTAGCAAATTAGGGATGAAAAGTTTGAACTTTTTGACCCTTTTCTTTTTACAGGCTTCTCCCTCACAGTTTTTAGTAGTCGCCTCTTGAACCAGTGCATGTATTATAGCAGCCAGGTGTCCTGTGCTTTCTGGATCATAGTAATGTACTACCTGTAAATACATTTTTCTATTTTATATTTTTTTGTATTTTTTTTTGACATTTTGTTTCATTGGTGCGCTGTATTTTCCATGCCCTCACTCCCTTAAAAACAAAAAGGAAGAAGCAACACAACCCTATCCTTGCTGTTGTGATTAGTCTTGGTTTACCTGTGTTGACAGCTGGGCTTCGGGGACAAATGGCAACTGCCTCTCTGCAAATGGAGCTCAAGTCCAGGAGCCGGAGACAGAGCAGGCTGCTGCTGTAGGACTTCAGAGCTGACCCTGCGCTGACTGTGGTCTCCACAGAGCTGGCATGGGCAGTGGCTAGTGTCTGCTCACCTTTGACTAAGCTCCTCTCAGACTGGCAGGCTTGCTGCCTGTGTGGTAAGACACCAGAGCCGTGGGGTCTTCCTCCCTGGGGTCGTGGCCTGCATGTGCGGCCAGTTGGTGTGCTGTCGCCCTGAGGCCTGCAGTCATCCTGGCAGCTCTCGCAGCTGAGTCCGTCTAGTCAACAGCAAGGTGCCATCATGGTGTTGGTTCCTCTGTCCTCTTCAAATTCTCTGAAGGGTTTGAAGGTCTGATTTTTGTCTCTAATAAATGACTCCTTTTTCTAGCTTTTGTCCTGACTTCACTTTGGTGGTTGGTGCAGAACAGAGCTCCCATTTACCTCACTGTGCCAGATACTGCGTGGAAAAGGGTTCCCCGAGTTGTCAGCTCCCATTGCACACAGCACTCCAACTACATGTGGCATTGGCAAAGGCTGAGAAGAGGCTCCTGTGCTCACTGCTGAGTGGAGCCCCTTCAGCTGTGGGTGGGGTGGACAATGACAACATGCTCAGCCCCAGGGATGCTGGGGGGGGGGGGGGCTCTGTGGTGATCTTAGGGGCCAGGAATGTCTGGTAGTTGTCGTTTCAGTCCAGACAAGGGAATGGGACTTGGTAGGAGTTTGTGGAAAAGAAATCCTGCACTCCACTTTGACTTAGCTCACAGCTACAGGCCACCTGTCTTCAGAGCTCTTGAAGCGCTCCCCAAAAGCCTCTACAGATGCTAGAATGTCTTCCAGTTCCGGAAGGCCTCCGAGGGAAGCAGGGTCCTGGGAAGGCACAGTTCCCTCCCTGCGATTGCCATGCCCTTGCCTTGTTCTTCCTGGACAGAGTGGAAAGTTTCCTTTTTTCTCAGACGTCTGTTAGGCAGGGTCTTCAAAGAACCTGCGTGCTCGTCTCGCCTGTTCGTGGCTGAGCTGACACCGCATTTCACCAAGCATGGTGTGTGCCGTGCAGACTACCATGATCTGGGCTGTCCGCCGAGTACACCCACCACGTAGCCTCCTGTGTGGGGACCTGGATGCAGCCTCCACTAGCCAGGTGAGTTGCTGGACCCCCAAGAGAAAGGGGTGATGGGCAGGGGATTTGGTCATGTCGATAGTGTTAAAAAATAGAATCTGGCAAGTTGTAGAGCTCTGTCCTTAAAGTTCCCCGGATCCAGCCCTGAGTGGGGTCACTGCTGTTGGTGAAACCTCATTTTTATCCGAGCCAGGAAATAACATGGTGTCTTATGTGTGGGGGTGCTTTCTCTGCATGTCCTGAGGGCACCACCTGCATGTCTGATGCCGTGGAGGCCGGAAGGAGGTGTCATAGTCTCTGGATCTGGAGTCGTAGATGGTTGTGAACTATCACATAAATGTCAGGAACCAAGATGTGGGGCTGGAGAGATGGCTCAGCAGTTAAGGGCACTGAGTGCTCTTCCAGAGGACCCAGTTTCGAATCCCAGCACCCACTTTGCAGCTCACAGTTGTCTTCATTCCAAGAGCTGACAGCCTCACATAGACATACAGTCAGGTAAAACACCAATGCCTGGTATCCACAAAGGCCATTGGATTACCCTGGCACTGGAATTTGGGATGGTTACAAGCTGCCATGTGGCTTCTATGCAAGAACAAGTGCTCTTAGCCACTGAGCCATCTCTGCAGCTACTTGAAGGAGTTTTGAGCGTAAGTGAAGTAACAGCTGTCAGCCCTGTTTCCCACAAGATCCAGCTGCATGCCGCGCTCAGTCTCCTAGGCGCACGGCTCCACCTCACCGTTCGTGCCCATTTCTGGCAGTGAGACCTCTCGGGGAACGATTGGTCCCTAATGCCAGAAGAGAGAAACGCAGTCATCTGAAACCTGTAATCTGGGAAGAATGGCTACACAATCTAGTTGCTACCCGGAGAGAGTAGAAACCAGGGCTTGCCTGGGTTTGCATTCATTCTCCATTCGTTCCCCTCCCCCTGCTCCACCCCTGAGAATCCGAGATCTTTTCTGCCCTTGCAGGACCTTCAGTCAGGTGTAGTACTTAGGCTCATAGGCACTGGGTGTTTCCACAAACCAAACTGAACATCCTATAGTCCTCTCACTATCAAGTCGGGGTAGGGGCTGCCCTTGAACACTGGATGTGGTAGCCAGCACCATGACACACAAGGGAGGTGGTCACACAGCGGCTCCATAGAGGGCCCATGCATCACTGTTGATAGTAAAACATCCCCAGGTGCCTGTGGTAGAACTAGACACGGCAGCTAAGTGCTGAAGAACGTGGCAGAAGCCACGACCCGTTAGATGTAACATCTGAGTGGCCAGGGAGAGAACACTGCAGCAGCCCACCACCCCACCGCCTTTAACCACAACAGGGCTCCGAGTCCCCTGCCAAGAGGGTGTGGCGGCCCCTTGTGCGGCGCTTGAAGCCTGTCACACCTGTGTGCTGCTGCTTTAGCTATTTTGAGTCACAGTTACAGCAGCAGCCTACATAAAGAACATCACAAGATGAAAATAATCCTAGCGTGGAAGCTTGGAACGGTAGTCTGTGCCTGTAATCCCCAGCACTCGGAGGCAGAGGCAGCTGGGTCGACACAGCAAGTTTCAGGCCAGCAGAGGCTACGTAGTGAGACCCTTCCTCAAAAGAGTGTGTGTGTGTGCTCGAGTGCGTGTAGAAAACAAAGTTTGGAAGGAAAGGTGATGAGCGTGGACAGAAAGATCACAGACTTTAGGCCAGCCCAAACTAGAGAGCAAGACCCCATCTCAAACAAAAGACAGTAAAGCCGGCCTGGTCCTGCCCAGTTGGCCACTTCCCTGGTTGGTCAACCTTGTGAAGTTAGGTGCTGGTTCTCAGGCAGCAGAGGCACCAAGGGTCCCCCCATCCATGAGCTTTTCTGAGTCCCCCAGGGAGACCAAAAGCCAGGAGGGAGGCTGCCGGACAGGACTGGAAAGAGGCTGAAACACAGGCCGGGGAAGTCTGCCAAGCAGTGGGCAGGGGTCCGCGCCCCGTCAGGAATGAAAGAAGTGGGCATCCACAGGACAAAGAGCAGGATGGCTGCCTGCCAGCATGCCAGGCCCTGAGTGCCAGCTCCTCTGCCTCACCCTGGTACCATAACCATTGCACAAAGCCTGGCTCAGGACCACACAGCTAGAAAGTGGGCTTGGAACTGGGTCTCTGCCCAAGACCCAGGGTGGGAGGGAGGAGCTCTCAAACAAATGATAGCCTCTAGGCGGCAGTAACAGCTCCCCAGAGTCCTAGGCAGTAGTTGCTGTTAGTATCACAGAGGACTGGCTACACCACCAAGATCACAACTGGTGGTTAGACTCTGTGGCCCTCATACCACCCACCAAACTTCAGAGAAGGGGTTAAACATCCCCACGTGCTGCCCACCTGGCACCAGGCACACCCACACGCCTGTAATCCCAGCACTTAGGGAGGCAGAGGCAGGCCCGCTCTGAGTTTGAGGCCAGCCTGGTCTACAGAGCGAGTTCTTTGTGTGATTGTAGGACAGCCAGAGCTACACACAAAGAAAAGAAACCTTATCTCAAAAAAAGAAAAGGAGGACCTCACATTGTGAGAGATCCGATCATGTCTCTAAAACACTCAAGAGTCAAGCAGCCTAGGGAGAAACTGTCAAATGTCAGCTGCTGCCATCACAGAAGGATTCCTTCCTATTTTTTTGGTTTTGTTTTTTTTTTTTTTTTTTTTTTTTTTGTTTGAGACAGGGTTTCTCTGTGTAGCCTTGGCTGTCCTAGACTCGCTTTGTAGACCAGGCTGGCCTCAAACTTAAGCGATCTCTGTCTGCCTCTGTCTCCTGCTCCTGAATGCTGGGACTAAAGATGTGTACCACACCTGGCTATAGAGGGATTAATGTTAAGTCTTGAGTTAAACCAAATTAAATGCTAATGTGTACATGTGTGCGTTTGTATTTATGTATATGCACGTGTATGTGTATATATCTGTGCAAGTACGCATGCCCGTGTGTATGTGCTTCAGCATGCGGAGATCAGAGGACAACATTCATGAGGAACATTGTGTTCCTCTCCTCCCCCTGCTGAGCCATAGTCTCTGGCTTCTGTGGCGTATGCTGGCCTCGCTGGCCCATGAGCTTCGGACAGTTGTGGCTCTGCCTCCCATCTTGACACAGAAGTGCTGGGGTTAAGGTGTGCATTGTCATATCTAGCTATCTTGTGGGTTTCAGGGGTTGAACTTGGGTCAGCAGGCTTGAACAGCTGGTGTTTTTACCTGCTGAGCCATTGCCTAAGTGCCCACCTGTAAAGGAGAACCCTTGGCAGAATTTCTGTGACATGTTAGAATCCTTGGGATACAGTCCTAAATTATATACATGTGATCAGAAGCTGACATTGGTACTCGAGAAGTATGCATGTCTCTTGTTTATGTATGTGTACCACTGTGTGGGGACCAGACGGGGGTGCTGTTTTATTTTCTGAAGCAGATATCCACACGTTGTACAGGCTGCCGTCCTGGACATAACTGGTCCTCCAGTCTCCCACCCCTGAGTAGCTCAGACAGCAGGCATGGGCTCTCATACCTAGCAGCATTCAAGACTTCTCTTTTTTTTTTTTACAAGTGGTATCCCTTTGCAGCCAAGGCTGGCCTCAGACTCAGAAAGATCCACCTGCCCATGCCTCCTTAGCAGGATCAAAGGTGTGTGCCACCACACCTGGCAAAATTCAAGACTTTTTAAGCAGCTACTGCAACTGCATTCAAAGGAAGATTCACTCA